AAAAAAAAAAAAAAAAAAAAACCCAACAAAAAAAAAACCATATGAGTTACTAGGAGTAATCTGAAATATTTTTTCTTCTCTTTAGCTGTCTAGATATCACCAATTTTTAAATTTCTATAACATGAGATAGACAGGTAAAATATTGCTGTGGGAAAAGACCTTAGGTGATGAAATCAGCAAAATCCAAGGATAATGCCATTCATGATGCTGCATTTCAATTCATTGTAGCAGCAGAGGTTCCTGTACATTCTCTGTCCTTTCATTGCCTGAGCCCCACCAAATGAGATCAGAAATCTCAAGGTACCGGGCCACCCAGACAGACCTATTGCAACATAGCAATAGATGTGAATGGGTCCTTTTGGATTTGGGGAGGCCCTGAATTCAGGTTTCATTACTATCAGAACAAGTAGGACCCCTTCTTCAAGGGGTAGGATGGTCGAGTTTAGCCATAGAGGTCAATAATTTGTAAGTAAAAACAGAAAAGGATTGAGATACATGTTACCCCCATTCTAGATCTACCAAACAGTTCCCCAGTACACACATTTTTCTTCCTGCTTCTCACTGCCTCTGGGCAATAGGGCATGAACCAAGGTCCTTCAAAATATCACTTGATCCTTGCTTATGGCTCCTGCCCCAGGCCACCCCATCACTCTAAGAACTTTGCCTTCACCATGAAGTGTCCCCTTCCAAACACAGCTTTCTGGTTACTGCCTCTGTGCATGACCATGACACAGTCCTCGGGACCTAGTTCAAGTCACCATCTATAGTAACATCATAGAGATTCCACATTTGAATTAACCCTGTTTGAAGCTCTTGTTCCCTTTTGTGTAAGACATGAAGATTGAAAATACTTATCAACTTAAATAGATAAAGCTCCTCTACTGTGCCAGGCATATAGTAAAGCCTCAGCCTTTACAGGGTTTTATACTTTTAAAAACCTTTTCTGGCCTTCCAGGTACACATAGAATTATCCTCATCTGTGCTATGTTGCAACATTGTATTTGCCTGTGTTATAACCTTTGCATGTCATACAGGTAGTGGTTAATTTGTTTGACACAATATTCTTCTTGTAGAGATCAGCAGGACGTCTCACATTTATATCCTTGTTTTGGTACACTATCAGTGATAACATCGCTGAAAACACACTTCTCCTCTGTCAAGTTTTGAATTGCAATATACCTCACATACCTCACCTTAGGAATTCAGAACTAATCTGATTGTTGACAAAGTCAGTGATTCTTAAAATTAAGCCTGCATCAGAAAGTCCTGGAAGGCTTGTTAAAATAAAATGCAGATTGCTGAGTTCCACCCACTCTTAGAGTTTATGTCAGGAATCTTAAATTGAGGCCTCTTGAGAATTTTCCTTCCAGAAAAATTGATGCTGATATTGATGGTTGGGGTGGAGGTGGGGGGATATTTTTGAGACTCACTGAACTGAAGTGTTGAGCTGTAAGTTGTATCTCTTCTCAAGCATTAACATTTAATAGGGGGCATGGGTTTTGACAAGTAAGAAACTTAGGATTGGAGGCTGTGGTGTGGCAATCACTGTGGACCTCTCTGAAATGTTACAAGACTGAACTTGGGTAGAGAAACACTGATCATCCTTGGCAAAGTCTATGGGAAACCCAGAAGCATGTGTCCTATGAGCCATTCTCAGAAATAAGGGAAAAACACATCACAAAGTCCCAGAGCTACAGTTGCTGGTACAGCTGTGGAGGGAAGGGAACACTTTGACCTTGTTGGCAGGATTGCAAACTAATACAGCCCCTTTGGAAAGAAGTGTGGAGAATCCTCAAAGAACACAAAATAGACTTTCCATTTGATTCCACAATCCAATTACTAGGTATCTACCCAGGAGAAAAACAATCATTATATCATAAGGACATTTGTAGTGAAAGATTGTTTATCACAGTTCAATTTACATCTCCAAGATGAGGAATCAACCCAAGTGCCCATCAACCCATGAATGGATTAATAAACGGTGGTATATGTATCCCATGGAATACTATTTAGTCATAAAAAGAAGGAGGATTTATATTTTTGTATTAACCTGGCTGGAGTTGGAGAACAATCTCCTTAATAAAGTTTCATAAGAATGGAAAAGCAAGTATCCAGTGTATTCAGTACTATTATGAAGCCATTAGAGAAAAAAATGCACACTCATACAAGGGAAAAACTGAATTAAATTGACGGTGGGAGAGGAAGGGAGGAGAGAAGGGGGGAGGGCAGGAAAGAGAAGAGGAGGGTTGGTGTGCTCCCACCTAATGGGCACAATGAAGGGGCACCTCCTGGGGGAGGGGCACAACTCCAGCAGGAACTTTGCCTAACAAACCCAAACAATGTAACCTAGTGGTTTGTAACATGTTAATCTGAAATTATAAAAAAAGAAATAAGTGAAAAATTTATTCTTCAAATTTCAACTAAGGGAATGAACACCTCTTGTCAGAGACTTGCAGAAGTCCACACAGCACTCCTTGACCTCAGATGTCCCTCCGCCTACTTGAGTGGCTCCAGCAGCCCTAAGTAGGTGAGAAAAGCAATGAAGGACAGGAGGGCAGAGCAAGCCCTCGGCAGGTATAAATGCCGCTCAGGAGGGCCACTGCAGATCTGTTTGCAGTTAGCAATTAGCAAATGGAAAAATATTTTTGACGTTTGGCTCTGGAGCTTTCGATGTTTAGCTTTGTCACTGGGATTAGTTTTATCAGTAAAACAAATCTCTGCTCCCAAAGTTCCTGCTGAAACCTTGTCAGGCAGTCTGAGGACTTTTCTTGGCACAGTTTGTGGGTTTACCTTCTCCCTAAAGTGTAGTAAGGGAAAGCTGATGATCCCACTAGAAGCCTTAGAAATCTCTGACATTGATTGGCTTACTGCTTATTGACAGTTACTACCTCTGATGCAAGCAAGCGGGGACACTAACACCAGCCAAGCTTCCCAGCAGGTCACAATGCTCAACGATTTAGCTGGACATTTGATCACGGAAACGAAGTTGTTTATGACAAAAACTGTTCATAGTAGGATGCTGTCTCCTTGACATCCAACACTCTCATTTCCATTTTGGAATTATTAAAGAACTTTTGTGTTTAAATAATTATTGCTATTCTCACAATTGGCTGGCAAAGGTATAGTAAACTCCAACAACATTGCTTAATGAGAGGCACAAATCAGGTAAATCACATAGCCACAGTAAACCTGATATTCTGGAACTGACTCTTTACATAATGAGCCAAGAGGTTTTAGGGATTTAGTTTAGAAGTAGAACGGGCTACATACGCCCTTTCAGTGGTATTATAAAGAAAGGAGGAAGGGCCAGAACAATGGAGGTTACCAAGCAAAGCACAGAGGTGGGTGGGAACTGTTTTCTTTTCACTTCAGTGGCTCTTTTAGGGCATATTGACTAATCCTGAAAATTGCTTTTAATACTGAAGCATGACCTAACAAATAACTGGTGGGGATGAAAGTAAATGTCCACTCATGTAAGTGCCTGTGACAGGGGTAAAGTGAAACTGGTCTGATGATTGTTTTCTCCAGCTCAGAATGAGTTCAGCGTGGAGATGCACGGTCTGGGAGCGATGGAAGCGGTCGGTCCTTCCCTATCTGGGCTTATGAGCCATTTGCTATCTCAGCACCACTTGAACAGTCTTCATACATTCAACTGGTGGCCCTTTCTTCAGAAAAGGAACATTTTAAATGCTTATAGCAAAAGTGTTAACAATAATGGCCAATCTGAGTTTATGTAGTTTTCTGGTTAATTCAAAAATTACATATGTCCATCATAAAGTAAAAATTCAAGAAGTGCTAGTCTTGGAATTAAATAAGAAAAAAGCTTGATGCCTAGTAGTTTCAAATAATGCAAAAATTTTGCTATCTAATGAAATCTATTAAAATATGATTTTTATACAAAAGTCAGTATAAATAAATGAACCATAAAGAGGCACCATTATACTAAGAAATGAATGTCACACAAAGAGTTTGTAACATAAGTAATAAAATTATTAAATATTGACCAGGTGTGGTGACTCACACTTGTAATCTTAGCATTCTGTTGGGAGCTCAGGAGTTTGAGACCATGGTAAGCAAGAGTGAGACCCTATCTCTACCAAAAATAGAAAAATTACCAGATGTCCTGCAGTGCCTGTAGCTCAGAGGGGTAGGGCGCAGGCCCCATATACTAGAGGTGGTGGGTTCAAACCCAGCCCTGGCCAAAAACTGGAAGAAAAAAGATAAAAGAAAAAGAAAAATTACTGGGTGTCATAGCAAGTACCTATAGTCACAGCTACTTGGGAGGCTGAGGCAAGAGAATTGCTTGAACCCAGAAGTTTGAGGTTGCTGTGAACTAAGCTGATGCCATGGTACTCTAACCTGGGGAACAGAGAGAGACTCAGTCACAAAAAAAAAAAAAAAATCCAAATAATTAAATGTTTATTGATTGCCTATTTTAGGCCCTGAATGGTAAGAAATATAGGTTATTTATAAGGTACATTTAGAGCTATCCATAAATATTTCTTGCAAAGGAGGTCATTATTAGGGCAGTCTTATGGAGCTGTAACAACTGGATTTTGGAGTAAGGTACAGGATCAAATTTTGGTTCTGCTACCAGGTGTATTTCATGTCCATGACCCATAGCCTACTCATCTAAAACCGAGGTCCATGATGGTTAACTACAGTAGTCAGTAGTACCTACTGTAAGTCCTGTGAAGGACTTACCTTAGTGCGTGGAGCTTCGTAGGGTCTACATCAGTATCTACCATCAGCTAGATCAGTCTCCTGAGAGTTTAGGTAGATGGATATTTCAAAGGGTCTTAAAGGATATACAGAATTTTGAAAGCAAAGTGATGTACTGATGGTAGAACATTCTGGGCAAGGAGAGTTACTGGAACAAAGATGAGAAGGAATTGGATCAGATAAAGTAGAAAAAAATGTAAATACTAAGTTTGACCAGGGGAGGTGAAGCCCCAAAATGTTGAAAAACAGGCAGAAGAGTTTGGCTTAGAACTGTGGATAAAGGAAACAATTGTACATATTTAAAAAAGAAAGTGATAAGATAAAACTATTTGAGATTAGCCTGGGAATAACAGGCAAGAGAGTTCAGGGAAAAAATAGGATGAACTTGGGAAAACTATTGAGAGTATAAAGCATTAAGGACCTATATAGTGCAGGACAGTGAAAACTGAAAGGAAAGATTAACACTCCCTAGAACTATTAAGAGTTACTGATAAGGGTTGCTTTGATTGCCAAGGCTAATAACAATTGCCACCATTTATTCAATAACACTTAACATAATGTGTGTCACATAGAAAGGAGTTTCAACTGTGAGGTAATATGCCCTTACTGTGAAGATAAGAAAACTGAACCTTAGCGAACTCATGCCACAGTGTATTTCACTTCCAAATATTTTCACACCTTATTCATTGGGGGAATGGTTTTATTATAGGTCTCTCCTATGTTGTTGAATATTCCAAAAAGGATAACTTCACACTTCATTTTGCTATCCTTAGCTGGCTGATGCTAAGACTAGCACAGACTGGGATGTTTATCAAGTCTATAGATGGATGGATGTGTAGGCAAGTGGCTCAGAGCTTACGTAGCTAATAAGGAGGAAGCAGAATTCAAATCTGGATTGTTTGTTGTAACACTGTGTATTAACTCTCATTACTCAATTTCT